TAAAAAACCCTAAGTCACTTAGTCAGCGTTTTTTTTTCGTGTGATTCTGTGTGTGCTCACCTTTGGTAGCAGCATACACACCCAATCAACCTTAGCCACATATGAAAATATTAAATAATTTCAAATATAAATATATATAATATAAAAAATATATATATATTAATTTTATTGGACCGGTTCGGATTGGACCGGTTCTTTAGGATGAAAAACCGGAACCGGAACCGGTCTGAACCGGTTCGGTTTGGATTGGACTCGGTTGTTGACTTTTTCGGTCAACACGGTTTTTTTCGGTTTTTTTCGGATTGGTTTGGTTCGGTTTTGCGGTTTTGCGGTTCCAATGCCCACCCCTAGTAAAAACTCCGAAAAGCTCAGGGTGTTAGTGTAAATAACTTTGGATCATATGAAACTCTGCTCCCTCCGTCGTCACTCCTTTTCAGTTCAATTATTTCCATGGCTGCTGCTGCTGCTGCTGGTGCCGTTCCATTGGTGCCACCACACATCTCGTTCCCCTTGGACCTCTCATCTCCCCAAAATCCTAATAAGCTCACCCTTTTCTTCCCTCGCCTCCATCGCTCAACCAAATCCCAACCAACTCTCCGCTGTCATAGGCCTCTTTCGTTCTCTTGTGGCCTCAGCCTCACTCCACATTCTCCGGCGCCGGAGCAGCCCACCTCTGCCGTGCCTCAGACCTTGCTTCGGCTTGCCGCCTCTGCCGCCCTCTTTTTTGGGCTTGGGCTTTGCTGTTGGGCCGCTTCGGCCCAATGTCCGCCTCTTCCTCTCGGCGACCATGGGGCGGTCCTGGAGGAGGAGCGCACAGCTCAAGGTAATTTCCCAAAGCAGCTGACTTAGTTTTTTTTTAAAATCAATAACAATAAGGGCGGGCTGTTTAGCGTAAGCGTGATTGTTGTAATTGTGGTGATTGTACATTTGATGAGCACAGCCACAGATGATGGTGATGAGGGTAAATCTGACAATTTGGAAAAGTCAGAAGATAGCAAGTTGGAAGCAGCCTTTGGAGTCTGGAAGTCTAAGACATATGCTTTGACTGTACCTTTGAGAATTGCTGCTCTTCGTGGCTCTGTTCCACCTTCATGGATTAAGGTCTGTGGCGCATTTCTTTCTCTGTATTTTGTCATAGGACATGGAATTTAGTATTTGGTTTGATGGGTAGCTGGTTTTGTGCGAGTTTAGGCAACATGCGTGGTTCATAACTTAATTTGCTTTCTGACCTGTAGGATTTCATGCAATCTCAAGGAAAAAGATCAAAGGTTCACTTGAAGTCCCATGCAAGTCTTGAGGGCATCTTTTCTGATCTGTCAATGGCCTTTAACAAAGGCAAAGTTGGGCCTTCATCTGTTGTAGCAGCTGACCTCGTTAGTGTTGGGGATTCTTGGCTCAGTTATGCCATTAACAAGGCTTTAATTGAGCCCATTCAAGGGGTAGAAGACCAGGACTGGTTTAAAGGACTGAGTGACAGATGGAAAGTAAGAATACAACTGCTCTTTAATGTCCTCTTGTTTCCTGATTCCTGAAAAGTGTGTTCTAGTGGATCCCCCTTTAGACATTAAGTGATGCTATCTATGCCCATTTTCAAGCTATGCCATTTTATGTTGATGTCTGTCCTGTGCAAATTATAGAAGGTCACAGGTCATGTTGAAGTGCAACACTTGCTTTTTTGTCCATTAATCAGAGGAATAGATAAATTTATTATAGTTTTTGTAGCATCCTTGTCATGGAATATATCAGTAGCTTTATTATAAATCTTAAATGAGCTACCAAGAGGGCAAGCCCTGATTTCTAAGATCCATGTTGTGTAACTGGAAACTCCTGAATCGAAAAGCATATTCTGAAGGGTACTATATACATGTAGATGATATGTGGATTGAAAACCTGCTTAAATGTTTCAACTGGCATGCCAGACCTCGGAATCAATATATGTTAGCTGGTGTTGTTGTTTTCCTGCCGTCAACAGTGTGTTATATACCCATTCTTAGTCAATATCAGTTAATTCTATGAACTTCTTGAGTTTGATTGTGCATGTTTCCTTAAGTTGTTTAACCATTTGCCTTTGCTTGGTGTATTGTTTTGAATTGGCAAAAAATCGCCTTATGGTGTTTTACTTTTGCTAAAAAGGTATCAGGTATATCTCTGCAGGAACTCTGAGGGGAGAATTGATCCTGATGGTAAAGTATGGGCTGCTCCATATCGCTGGGGCTGCATGGTGATAGCATACAAAAAAACTAAATTTCGAAAGCATAAGTTGGCTCCTGTAGAGGTAACATGTCTCTGAATTTATTTTATTATGCTATACTTCTTTCTCATTTAGAGAGTTTTAACAATTTCATTGATTCACATGATATGCCATGGAGAAGGAGAAAATATTAAAAAAGAAGTTGGGAAATTGATTCAAGGGCTCATATAGCGGTTTGGCATGGTTACCTGCTGGAACTTGCTTAAAGAAAGCTGAGAGTTACATTAAATTCTGAATAACTGGTTTTGTTTGTGTTTGGCATGTTTTGGTTTTTACGAAATGTTGTCTTAAATACAAACATTCTAAGAGTTGGCATTGCAGGACTGGGCAGATTTATGGCGACCTGAACTTGCAGGAAAGATTTCAATGGTTGATTCTCCTAGAGAGGTTATTGGTGCAGTTTTGAAGTACATGGGAGCATCATACAACACAAAAGACATCCATTTGCAAGTTGATGGTGGGAGAGATGCTGTCAGGCAAAATCTTGCTTTACTTGTAAAACAGGTATTGAGAGAAACTAAGTTAGATGCACTTGATAAACTACTGAAAAAGTAGATTACTGCCAAATCTGGAGCTAAATTTGGGGAATGGGAGTCAGTTTTAGAGCTATGGCTCAAAATTATTCTACTTTAGGTAGGGATATTTCTAGTGGTGGCTGAAACATTTATGATAATGCATGTGGTGAACATGTCTCAGAATTGTTAGGAAAAAGAGAAAAAGTCTGTCAGAATGATGCAGAAGGTTACTTGCTCTGTTCTAATTTGTATAATGATGTGCTCATTGGCCTTATGTAGGTCCGACTATTTGACAGTGTACACTATTTAAAAGCGTTTGGGGTTGGAGACGTGTGGATGGCTGTTGGGTGGAGCAGTGATGTTATTCCTGTTGCCAAACGTATGTCTGATGTTGCAGTAATTGTTCCCAAATCAGGAGCTAGTATATGGGCCGATCTATGGGTACACCCTGCATTATGTTATCGTAGAAATTTAAGTCCTCTTTTATATGATATCTTCTCCTAGATGTCAAGTTATGTTTTTTTTGTCTTTTTCTAGGCAATTCCTGCTGTCTCTCAACTTGAAACAAATCGAATTGGGGGGAGAGTTAGAGGGCCATCTCCGCTCATCCATCAATGGATAGAGTTCTGCTTTCAAACTGCTCGAGCACTCCCTTTTAAGCAGGAGGTAGTCCCCGGAGCATCCCCATCTGCTCTTGATAGTGCTCCGCCTGAAGTTTTGAATGAGCTCATCAAGGGAAAGCCAAGACTGGACACAAACCTCGTTGCAGGGGTACCTCCACCTCAGATTTTGGCAAAGTGTGAATTTTTGGAGCCGTTAACTGATTCTACTCTGTCAGACTATCAATGGTTGATTGCTAGTGTGCAGAAATCTAGGGATGGTTTGATCGCTAGCATGCATTCTTACATGTCATCATTGATTCAAATTTTTTGGCTGAAGCTGAATTCAAAGCCAGCATAATCATGAACTTTAACAGATGCCTAGCGTAAGTTAAGAAGTGTTCTATGATGAGAATTATTCATTTGTTTATATCCAATCCGGCACTTATAACTCAAGTCATAACATCATGGAACAGATGTTTACGCATATGTGGAAAATTTGCATGTATAATTAGATAGGTTGTACTTTGAGATTATTAACCAAAGTATGAGCATGATTGCAGAGCATATGTTAACTACTTTGTTACAAATTCAAAACATATGGTATTTATTTATCTTCTAATCGTTAGATCAAACTATTTGTTCACTGTTAAGACTAAGCAGACTTTTGTATCCGACCACCCAAAACTCTTCAACACCTCAAATTTTGAAACCCACTTGTCCTTCCTCATCGAAAAAAGCGTACACACGCCATTGATGAACATCATGCTCAACGGATTGAAACCCAGTTCCTCAACCTCCCTCACAATCTTACTAAAATCCTCAACATCCCTTGAAAATAGCTGTGGCTGCCACGCGATCATCTTCATAATGTTTCTGTGAGGCACACCGTGTTGTCTTAGAGTCTCAGCGTTTGCGCCCATAGAGTCAGAAAATCTGAGCACAACCACACTACCACGCTTGACCGAAAAGTGCAACAACAAAGCCGAGGCAGACCCAAGAAAGCTCTTGAGGAACCCAATACAGGGTGCAATCTGTTTGTTCAAACTCCGCTCTAGAATTTTGGGGTTGTTGGTGATTGTGCTTACAAGGTCTTGACCAGAAATGCCATTTTGGGAGAGAAAGTCTAGCTTCGGCTTGAGGGTTTTTTCTGGGTTTGCCTAGAGGAAGGATGGGCATATGGTGATGATTTTGGCTATGTGGGTAGGGGTAAAACCGTAATGTTCGAAGAGGGAGTGGACTGAGTAGGGATTGTTGGGGGGTCTGCCACGGATTTTCTTGGAGACTTGAAGAGCTGATTCTGGGGTGAAAGCCAAAGTGTTTGTGAGATAGTCTGTGAGTGTTGGGTAGTCACAAATGCTGAGAGTGGTGAGGGTTCTGATTTGTTGAAGATGGAGAGAGGTTTTGAAGATAAAATGAAACATTGGAATGTCAGGTGTGTATTCTGTGCCGGTGGTTCTTCAGGTTTCCAGAATTCAGAGAGGTGGCTGCTTTCATTTCATCGAGCGTAGTTCTGTTTGGGTGGGAGGAACGGTGGTTTTTGAGAATTTTTTTTGAAACCCAGCGCATGTTTGAAGGGTGTATTAAATTGAGATTTTAATATTATACATTTATTTAAAAATTCATATATAGCCTATTTGAAGAGAAAAATTTAAAATTAGCCGTTTGTTAATTTCTAATGTCTAGGGAGACCACATCCCTTTCCCTAATAGGGGCAGGACCTGCCTAACATTACTCTTTAACTTGATTGATTACTGAAGTGTTTTTTATTGAAGGATACAACTTTTAAGTTATTGAACGAGGTATAATCTGCCCGTCCCAAACAAGTATCAAAACTTTTTTTGGACTTAAGTTTTTCCTCTTCCTCATTTGGAGCTCGAGTGAGAGCATGTATATTTGAGAATTTACTGGCCATTTGTTGGAAGGTATAGGAATATGGATTTATTTTTCTGCCAGTTCCATTAGGCTACAGAGGGAAAGAGTAAATTGATAGGAAAGTGTTTCACGAAAACCATTCTTTCGGCCCCTCAAAGGTCGAATCATTCCATTGGGTCCATAAGCATCAAGATCTGCCGAGAACAAAAAGATGTGTCCTAGAAACCCTCCAAGGGCAATAGCATGGATTAGCCAGACAACTCCTTTCAATCAGATTATGATTGTCAGTATTTTCTCTACTTTGGGTATCCAAATCAAAAAGACTTTTGAAGATCCAATAACATCCACATGAAATCTCCTCGACTCCCAAAACTTGAAACCTCCTTGAAAGGAAAGACCTGCGAAATCCAAGCGATAATTATTGGCCAGCAAGAAGCACATTTTTTCAAATATCATACACTTTGCACCACTCAAGTATGTCCTATATTTTCACATTGCAACTTAACTACAAAATCTTCCAATATCAAACCTAACATAAAATGCCCTCGGATGTGTAGGCATGGGTCCACGAGTTGATACATCACAAAAGAATTGAGACCCACCCAAGCCACGGAGGAAAAACCGAGAAGAATGATGGCCTAAATGACGGAAGGTCCGCATTGAAATGATTTGTAAACGTTAGGTTTGATATTGCAAGATTTTGTAGTTGAGGGTGACATGTGAAATTTGGGTCGTATTTACTAATCAATCAATGTCTTCACCACCAAACAAGAAAATCTTGCGGTGCATGACACTCTATTTCTTAAAGTAATTGAACAATTTAGTAATGATTATCAGATTGCTGAATAGTCGGGACAAAACTTAACTACATCCTTAAGTAGATGACCTTGTACAACAACTTAAAGAGGGGCTTCAAAAAGCAGAACAACTCATCCAAGAAAAGAAAATATCCATAGTACATGAGGTGATGTGACAAAAGAACCCCACAGATTTTTTCTTTCCATGTTGTTTGATAAGAGAAGAAGCCAGAAGAGTAGAAAGAATTGCAAGCAATAGAGCAATAAGTTCAAAAGTAAAATCTTATGGCAAACTTGGAGGACCAGATAGGACGATTGTTTTTATAAAAATTAAGGAAGCATTTTATATCCAAACGCATAGGAATCTCCAAAATGATTTGATAAATACAAAATTCAATAAATGGGTGAAGGAAAACAAGAAGGAAAAACAATTACCTGTCTTGAATGGAGAAGTAGGCCAGCTGCTCATCCTTGATTTGTTGTTCAGGTCGAAACCAACTGCATAAAAATAAAAAAAAAGAACTCCTTCACATCTGACAAAAAAAAATAGAAACTCCTTCACATATATAGGCATAATGATTTCAATTTTCTTTCATAGACATGCCGCAGATAAAATTTAAAAACAAAAGGATATTCAGAAATGTTTGCAAAAGTGAGAAGGATGATAAAGATAGTAAGAAAACCTTTATTATTATTATTTGATAAGTTAAAAGAAAACCAAATATAAAAAATCTGCCATATAAAGAATTCCTATTTGCAGGATTTCCCCATGTTGTTCTTATATCAGAAAAGGCATCACATTGGAGACATAGTCGAAGTGATTACACAGGTAGCATGGAACTGAAAATGGAGGCCCCAAAAATATTACATACACAAAAACCTTCAAACAAATACAGTGACCATCATGTTCTTTTGACACAAAAAAGACAGTGGGAACTGAGAAGCAATTGGTCCATGAAAAACCTTCAAACCCCTTGATGACCAATCTCAAGAAGGAGGAAAGAATGTTAGGGGAAACTTAGTAATAAGGCAATAATGTAGCTATATACAGAAGAAATTATCCACATTATTTTAATAGGAAACAGAAAAATTGAACAAGAATGAAAGGGGGAAGTACAATATAAGTGAACAAGTTGTCTATTAAAAAACAACCATCAAACTACAAAAGTCTACAAAAAAAACAATATAACAGCAGAACAGCCAGGCTGAAAACAGACCCAAACCATAAGAACTAGCTGCTTCCCAATCCAAAGTCAGAGGGAAGAAAGGGAACCCTGGGAACTCAGAAGAAACAGAAGCCTGTAGCAAGGCCCAGAATCTGGCTTTGTCCTATAAGAAAAGCATCACTCGTTCTTCTACCATCACATTTAGTCACAACCCCAATTTCTCATTTCATGTTCCTTCCTGATTTCCATCTACATATTAAAAATACTGCTAAAGAATGGATCATTTATCCTCCGCACCCCACTACAAAAGGGAAAAACAAAAGTAAGGAAATGACTTTGGAACCAATGAGACCGCCCAGTTTCTACCATAATAAGTGCAAGCACCATTAGGCATTTCCAAAAGAACTGAACATCAGCTCACTCACCACTGATAAGTTGCCAGGCCTAATAGTTTCGTGTCATCTCATCCTCAATTTCAATCAATCATCCAATAAATCATATCTAAAAGTGCTAGTAGTTCTCAAGCCTTTTCCTCAATATACTCTCTAGGAAAATAGAAATACATGCGCATTGTCAAGTTTCAGATTTTTTTTCAACATTCCTGGTACATAAATAATACTCTGCCAACAATAGAAGATTCTTATTATCAGCAGCGGTCTATTTGCATGGCCAAGAAAATCAAGACTTCGAACAGTAACATGGACAAACACATAGGCAGACCGCCTACCAAAAAACATATTAACAGCAAATGGTAGTCTTCCCTTTTATCAGATAAATGCATGGTTCCGTTCCAAGGACATGCTTTTTTCTTTTTTTCTTTTTTTCACCGTGCCATATTTCAAAAGAGAAATGCATAGTAAATGAATAAAAGGAAAAGGAAAAAAATTTCAAAAATGCATTCATAAGGCTTTTGTCTGTCTGCAAACTGGTTCACTAATCAGGTTTCAGCTTTTTTTAAAAATAAAAAAAAAATATTGCCTTATTACTAAGTCAGAAAATTATACTATGAAAGCACAACATATATTCAATTAAAACAATTACCAATATAGATAAAAGCAAATGAAACTATAATCCCGTCAAGGTTCTTCAATAACCAAATCATGAACCAATAACAACAAATAAGAAAACCTAATTATTGCACAGAAAAATAAAAGCTCCCACCCAAAACTCTTCAACACCTCAAATTTTGAAACCCACTTGTCCTTCCTCATCGAAAAAAGCGTACACACGCCCTGGATGAACATCATGCTCAACGGATTGAAACCCAGTTCCTCAACCTCCCTCACAATCTTACTGAAATCCTCAACATCCCTTGAAAATAGCTGTGGCTGCCACGCGATCATCTTCATAATGTTTCTGTGAGGCACACCGTGTTGTGTTAGAGTCTCAGTGTTCGCGCCCATAGAGTCAGAAAATCTGAGCACAACCACACTACCACGCTTGACCGAAAAGTGCGACAACAAAGCCGAGGCAGACCCAAGAAAGCTCTTGAGGAACCCAATACAGGGCGCAATCTGTTTGTTCAAACTGCGCTCTAGAATTTTGGGGTTGTTGGTGATTGTGCTTACAAGGTCTTGACCAGAAATGCCATTTTGGGCGAGAAAGTCTAGCTTGGGCTTGAGGGTTTTTTCTGGGTTTGCCCAGAGGAAGGATGGGCATATGGTGATGATTTTGGCTATGTGGGTAGGGGTAAAACCGTAATGTTCGAGGAGGGAGTGGACTGGGTAGGGATTGTTGGGGGGTCTGCCATGGATTTTCTTGAAAACTTGACGAGCTGATTCTGGGGTGAAAGCCAAAGTGTTTGTGAGATAGTCTGTGAGTGTTGGGTAGTCACAAATGCTGAGAGTGGTGAGGGATCTGATATTGGCATTCAGGGTTCTGATTTGTTGAAGATGGAGAGAGGTTTTGAAGATAAAATGAAACATTGGAATGTCAGGTGTGTATTCTGTGCCAGTGGTTCTTCAGGTTTCCAGAATTCAGAGAGGCGGCTGCTTTCATTTCATCGAGCGTAGTTCTGTTTGGGTGGGAGGAACGGTGGTTTTTGAGAATTTTTTTTCAAACCCAGCGCATGTTTGAAGGGTGTATTAAATTGAGATTTTAATATTATACATTTATTTAAAAATTCATATATAGCCTATTTGAAGAGAAAAATTTAAAATTAGCCATTTGTTAATTTCTAATGTCTGGCAAGCAATTAACTTACGAAAAATTCTAGGGAGACCACATCCTTTTCCCTAATGGGGGCAGGACTTGCCTAACATTACTCTTTAACTTGATTGATTACTGAAGTGTTTTTTATTGAAGGATACAACTTTTAAGTTATTGAACGAGGTATAATCTGCCCGTCCCAAACAGGTATCAAAACTTTTTTTGGGCTTAAGTTTTTCCTCTTCCTCATTTGGAGCTCGAGTGAGAGCATGTATATTTGAGAATTTACTGGCCATTTGTTGGAAGGTATCGGAATATGGATTTATTTTTCTGCCAGTTCCATTAGGCTACAGAGGGAAAGAGTAAATTGATAGGAAAGTGTTTCACCAATCCCATTCTTTCGGCCCCTCAAAGGTCGAATCATTCCATTGGGTACATAAGCATCAAGATCTGCCTAGAACGAAAAGATGTGTCCTAGAAACCCCCCAAGGGCAATAGCATGGATTAGCCAGACAACTCCTTTCAATCAGATTATGATTATTGCCAATATTTTCTCTACTTTTGGTATCCAAATCAAAAAGACTTTTGAAGATCCAATAACATCTACATGAAATCTCCTCGACTCCCAAAACTTGAAAGCTCCTTGAAAGGAAAGACCTGCGAAATCCAAGCGATAATTATTGGCCAGCAACAAGCACATTTTTTCAAATATCATACACTTTGCACCACTTAAGTATGTCCTATATTTTCACATTGCAACTTGAACTACAAAATCTTGCAATATCAAACCTAACATAAAATGCCCCCAGATGTCTAGACATGGGTCCATGAGTTGATACATCACAAAAGAATTGAGACCCACCCAAGCCACGGAGGAAAAACCAAGAAGAATGACGGCTCAAATGACGGAAGGTCTGCATTGAAATGATTTGTAAACGTTAGGTTTGATATTGCAAGATTTTGTAGTTGAGGGTTACATGTGAAATTTGGGTCGTATTTACTAATCAATCAATATCTTCACCACCAACCAAGAAAATCTTGCGGTGCATGGCACTCTATTTCTTAAAGTAATTGAACAATATAGTAAATGATTATCAGATTGCTGAATAGTCGGAACAAAACTTAACTACATGCTTAAGTAGATGACCTTGTACAACAACTTAAAGAGGGGCTTCAAAAAGCAGAACAACTCATCCAAGAAAAGAAAGTATCCATAGTACATGTGGTGATGTGACAAAAGAACCCCACAGATTTTTTCTTTCCATGTTGTTTGATAAGAGAAGAAGCCAGAAGAGTAGAAAGAATTGCAAGCAATTGAGTAATAAGTTCAAAAGTAAAATCTTATGGCAAACTTGGAGGACCAGATAGGACGATTGTTTTTATAAAAATCAAGGAAGCATTTTATATCCAAACGCACAGGAATCTCCAAAATGATTTGATAAATACAAAATTCAATAAATGGGTGAAGGAAAAACAATTACCTATCTTGAATGGAGAAGTAGGCCAGCTGCTCATCCTTGATTTGTTGTTCAGGTCGAAACCAACTGCATAAAAATAAAATAAAAAAGAACTCCTTCACATCTGGCAAAAAAAAAAAAAAACTCCTTCACATATATAGGCATAATGATTTCAATTTTCTTTCATAGACATGCCGCAGATAAAATTTAAAAACAAAAAGATATTCAGAAATGTTTGCAAAATTTCTTATATCAGAAAAGGCATCACATTGGAGGCATAGTCATAGTGATTAAACAGGTAGCATGGAACTGAAAATGGAGGCCCCAAAAATATTACATACACAAAAACCTTCAAACAAATACAGTGACCATCATGTTCTTTTGACACAACAAATACAGTGGGAACTGAGAAGCAATTGGTCCATGAAAAACCTTCAAACTCCTTGATGACCAATCTCAGGACCGCACCAGCCATCCTACCTACCCTAAAAGGAGGAAAGAATGTTAGGGGAAACTTAGTACTAAGGCAATAATGTAGCTATATACAGAAGAAATTATCCACACTATTTTAATAGGAAACAGAAAAAAAAGAACAAGAATGAAAGGGGGGAAGTACAATATAAGTGAACAAGCTGTCTATTAAAAAACAACCATCAAATTACAAAAGTCTACAAAAAAACAATATAACAGCAGAACAGCCAGGCTGAAAACAGACCCAAACCATAAGAACTAGCTGCTTCCCAATCCAAA